TGTATACTTAGTTAACTATAAATGTTTTATAGTTAAGAATATTCAGAAATAATATAGCACTTTACCTGAATTACAGTCTGTTTTGTTGGTATTTTGCAAAAACAACAGTAAAACTGAAATTTTCTTGACTGAATTGAATGCCTGTTTCAGCACCATACACTATAGCTGTAAGTTTTCAATGCACATTATTAACAGGGTTCCTATCAAGATATCAAGTCCTGATGTGGCACTGTAGGATGAGCACTAGGACTAAAAGGTTGCTTTGAACCACCTTGTCAGAAGTTCAAACTCACCAGTAGCTTTGTAGAAACCCTATACAGTGCAGACTCCACAGTACTTAACAACAATTACCAGTAAATGGAACTGAAAAAAGAAACTCGTCAACTCTAAGGAACTGTTTAACAATGGTACTACTTGATTAACAATATGGAGAGACAAGTATTGAATTGAGAAGTCACTGTTTGCAATATAGATTGGAACAGGATATTTTAACACCATCTTTCCAACAAACAAAACAAGTTCCAGAAGTTTATGAGGGTTTTTCAATACTAGTTTTATTTTATTTCCATTAAAGTAATTGTTTGGAGTTTGACATAGGTTTTTAAACCCTTATCATTTGGTATATCAACTCTACACAGCATTCCAGGGCTTGATCTGAGTATCTTGGTAGCTCCAGAATCTCTACATAGAGGGACTTAAGGATTTATAGGAGAGGGGTTTCTCGTACTTAGCTTGAAGCAATACCCTCAGAAGGCCTCCTACTTTTATTTATATTGTATTTTTTTCAGGGTTGGAAGGAGTAGCTGATGCAAATTATGGGTCATTCGGAAAAGCAATGGGCTAAGGCACTTGAGTTCACCCACTATCTAATGTTCTATATGTAGTTTATCTTGATGTCAACTCTTTACTTCTAAGCAAATGATACTCCAACTAGCATTGTTTCTCCTACTTTTTATACTGAAGATGTCTTCAATAGCTTCAAAGTCAATGTACATTCTTAAAAGAAAAACAGTCTTCCCAGTGAGAACACCCGTATAATCTCTGCTACCTCCTTCGCATTTCTAAAATTTGCATTACTGTTCTTACAGTCTTATAAACTAGATCTCTGCCATCACTGATCCATCTCCTTATTCACTCTACTCAACCATTTGTCTCTTCTTGTTATATCTCCATGGTCATACTTCATACAAAAATATTATTGATTTCAATGGAGTACCTCAGTTAAATATTCCAGACCAGGTGGGCAGTTTGTCATAGGAGTAGGTTCTGGCATCCATATTGGAGCAGCCTGATTTGACACAGGATATTTGCCAGGCTGATACTGAATACGTTGGCTACCACCAGTTAGCTGGTACAAAGGGGAGGCACTTGGTTGCTGTGGACTGTAATATCTCATAGGCAAGCCTCCTGGATGGCCTGCAGGTCCAGGGGGCCCTGTGTGCAAAAACAAATGAGCATAACATATAAAGATTATAATATCGAGAACTTAGTATGACTTTTCAAATAAAGACGATCTGGGTCATATGACATGTTCTTAGAAAATAGAGGTTTCAATTTCAGAAGACAAACCATGTACTCAGGTAAATTACCATCTGCTAACTCAATACTTTCAAATCTTATGACACAGTTACCCACATATCAGAGGTGTAAAAATAAGACTGGAAACATTAAGCAATTTATTAGCATTTCTATGCAACTCTGGTAGCGTAGTGGTTATGAATCGGGCTGCGAACTGCAAGGCCAGCAGTTCAAAACTACCAGCTGTTGCACGGGAGAAAGATAAGGCTTTCTGCTCCCATAAAAATTTACAGCCTCGGAAACCCTGCACAGGGTCGCTATGAGTCGGAACCGACTCCACAGCACAGAACAACTACAACAACATGTCAACACTCTTCTGTCAGTTAATCATACTGTTGTGGCTGTGTGTTGCTGTGATGTTGGAAGTGATGTCACTGGTATTTTATATACTAGCAGGTTCACTGACATGGATTGAATTGTATCCCCCAAAACATGTGTCAGCTTGACTGGACCAGGATTCTCAATTGTTTGGAAGTTATGTGATGATTCTCCATGATGAGACTTGATGTAATAAATCAGTAAGAGGATTAAGGGTGGTGTGGCACTGTAGGATAAACACTGGGCTGCTAACTGCAAATCTGGTGGTTCACAACCACCAGCTGCTCCTAGGAAGCCCTACAAAGGGACACTATGAGTTGAAATCAATTCAACTACATTTAACAACAATGCCCTATTCCCATCAGGACTCTGATCTGACTTACTAGAGATTCCCAAATGTGTGGCATGCAACACCTTTTATCTTACAAGAGATAAAAGTACAAAGATGTGAATAGAGAAAGAGGGACTTTTACTCCCATCAAGAAAGTCAAGCCAGGGATGGAATGTGTCCTTTGGATCTAGGGTCCCTGTGCTGTGAAACTCCTAAATGCAGGGGGAGACTGATGCCAAGACACATGGAGATCTCCAAGGAATGCTTGGCCTACAGATTATGAAAGGAGACAAGGATCCTTTTTCAGAGCTGGTGCACTGAATTTGGACTTTTAGCCTCTTTAACTGTGAATGAGTATATTTCCTTTTGTTAAAGCCCTCCACTTGTGGTGTTTCTAGTATAGCTAAGGTAGTCACTCATGGTGAACAGGTTTCAGCAGAGCTTCCAGACTAAGAAAAAAGAGAAAAAGAACACTTCTGAATCGTTAGTCACCAAAAACCTTATAAATAGCAGCAGTCCAAACTTACCAGCCACTCCTTGGAAACCCTACACAAGGTCGCTATGAGTCAAAACTGACTCAACAGCACTTAACAACAACAACAACAACGTGAAAAGTATTATTAATATTTTAAATTCACAAATGAGGAAACTGAAGTGCAGGCTGATTAAATAACTTGTTGAAAGTGACTAGCTCAAGCACCTTCTAACTACAGTTACACCCTTACCTAAATTATGCTCAGACTTTTCCCAGGATCAGAGGCTAGGAAAAGGAGTATCTACAACAGGCTCTAGGTAGAGTTGTGTGTCTGTAAACTGAAAGAGTAATCCTAAGTAGTTTCTAATTTTAAATCCTTAAATTCTACATGACTTCATGGAACATCACAGTGCAGGACAAAGCAGCACAGGTCATAGAAAGCTGACCTTAGGACAGTAACAGGTGACCAGAATAGGGGCAGAGCATGCTTTGGAGGTAGCTGATGCTAAGACACCCATCAGGCCACCACCAAGAATAACCCATGTAATCTATGTGGATCAATGAATCAGACAGAATATGACTTCAGATTTATGGGCTATTTCAGCATAGAGATTATATTTCTAAGAAACATATATGCAAATTTATGCAAATGAATAATTTTGTTATTAATATGTGTTATTCAGAGATATTAACAGAAGCAAAGGGAAAAAACATGATTAAATCATATGTGGAAATCTGGGACATTATACTCCTCTTTGAGCTTTGAAATTACCATGTAGGTTGAGACTGGTTCTGCAGGAAAACAAAGTAAAAAACAAAACCAAACATGTTTTAACTTTATATTTGTCTCTGTCTCGCTATATAGGTGGCATATAACAAAGGTTTATTAACATTTGGGGCAAAATTGTTTTCCTTGGGACACATATCCAATACTATAATGCTAATGGGAATTATAAGCCTAAATCAGAGATAGTAACCAAAGCCAAATATTTGAGGTATGTTGTTGTTGCTATATACCATCAAGTCAGCTCTGACCCATAGTAACCCTGTATAGGGTTTCTTAGGAGCAGCCGGTGAACTTGAAACCATTGAGTCAATTCTGACCCTGTATACTGTATCCAAAGAGGAGCTGGTGAGCTTGAACCACTGACCTTGAGGTTCAAATGACTTTGCAGTATGACGCATTAGCCCATAGCGCCACACCAGGACTCCCACCAGAAATCTAGTCATTCTTTAATATGAATTATAGGGACTCATTTGGTGTCACTGATTTACAATGGCTGGACATCATTTATAAGTATAAAGTCCAACCACTAGATGGCTATGTCAGTGAATTTTTTTTACTAAATTTCATAACAAGGTATTTATTAGTTGTATACAATGTACACTACACTATATATTTTCTAATATACCCAGTCAGCTAATTTGAAGCATGTTTCCTGGTCTTGTTAATGTTTTGACATTAAGAGGAATAAGTATTTTCCCAGATGAGAAGAACATAATTTTATCCAGTGTTTGCTTGTGTGTTGCTGGATGCTGGAAGGCATTTTAAATACCAGCAGGGTAACTGATGGGGGGCAGGTTTCAGTGAAACACCCAGACCACTAAAGCCTAGGAAAAAGGAGAGGCAGACAATTTCTGAAGTGTCAGTCACTGAATTCCTTATGAATAGCAGTGGAACATTGTCTGATAGATTGACGGAAGATGAGTTCCTCAGGATGGAAGGCACTCAAAATATGTTTGGGGAAGAACTGCCTCCTCAAAGTAGAGCTGATCTTAATGATGGGCATGGAACAAAGCACATTTCAGAATCTTCATTTGTTGATGGGGCACAACCCAAAATGATTTAAAAAATATTTATAAACATCCATTAGAATCAGAACATGAAATGTACAAATCATTAATCAAGGAAAATTGGAAGCTGTCAAAATTGAATTAGAATGAATAAAGATCGATATCTTAGGCCTTCATGAGCAGAAATGAATAGGTATTGGTCATTTGGAATCAGAATATTTTTTCCTATGTCAGGAATGACAAATTGAAGAGGAATGGTGCCACGTTCATAATAAAAAAGATTTCAAGATCTATCTTGAAGTACAATGCTGTCTGTCATAGAATAATATCCACATCCCAATGTATGGCAATAAGGAAGATCTGTTAACACCACTATTATTCAAATGTGCCCACCAACTACTAAAGCCAAAAATGATGAAATTGAAGAATTCTACCAAGGTCTTCAGTGTGAAATTGATTAAACATGCAATCAGGTATCTTTGTTAATTCTTGTTGATTGGCATGTGAAACGCAGGAAGAAAAAGGATCTGTAATTGGAAAATATGGCCTTGAATGATAGAAATGATGCTGGAGTTTGGAGTGGCTAGAAAAACAGAAGATACTTCTTGAAAGGAAGACCAATAGGAAAAATACAAAACAATATAGGCAGTCTAACTGATTACTACAAGAACAAGCAAGTTGCTCACCCAGAAGACATCAAGGCAAGTGGTTTGGTCTCCTCAGGGCAAACCCCCTTTCAAGACTAAGACTCAATGGGAATACACGAGCAGATATGAGCTCTGATTGGTGATCATGTTCATCACCAATAAAGGGAAGTAAGGGAAAAACAGAATTGAAGCTGAGAGCTAAGCCCTACTGTGAACCCGGGTGGAGACCTGGTTGGCCAGCAGTGTGGCAAGACCTGGGGTCTTTTGGGCCCAGAGTCAGTGATATAGCCACAGAAGACTAGAGTGGAGAATGAAGCATCCAGCTGATAAGAAGAGAAGGCATATGCATAAGAACAACCACACTTGCAGATAATACCCACTTGACCTGGCTTCAATGACTGGCTAATCAGAGCTGAACTAGAAGAAAAAAGAGAAAAAAAGAGTGATCTGATACAATTTGATGAACTTGGCCTACACTTATGGATGCAGTAGCTCAAAAGAGGGAACAAATCTTTACAGTGAGGATCATTCCCACCCCCTCCATACATAGAGTAGACAGGGATGGGTAACTTGGACATTGGCTACCCAAAATAGGGGGGCTACAAAAGCAATAAGTGACTGGTTTACAAACTTTTAAGAGGGAGCCTAGATCCAGAGGGTGTGGAGGAAGGTAGAATGTCCATTGAGTAGTATCTAATCTGTCTGGGTGGGGCTGATGAAAGGAGATGGGGATAGGTCTCTTGTGATACAATAGTGAATAATTGTTATCAAGACTGCTTGTGAGAGTTGGGAATGTAAAGGTAGAGGTTTTGTAGAAAAAGGAGGAGAGTGATTGACTTTTCAGTCTAGGAGTGGAGGTTCCTGGGACCATCAAGGAAGGACAGCAGAGTGTGGGACCCTATCCAGACAAACAGTGATGCCTGAGATGGAGGCAGAGATGATGACATAGAGAGATGGAGTGCTGGGGACTTTAGACTCAGAGAGGGAGAGGTGCTGTGTGCTGACGACCTGGGGGCAGGCTTGCAGGGTAAACCCTTGGGTTGGTTGATGATGTGCATGGAGGGGATTGTAACCATGGTAATGAAATGATAAACAATAGGATAAATGTAAAGCTAATCTTCTCCCATGTAAACTATCACATAATTCACAATAAAACATTTTTTTTTAAAAATGATGCTGGAGATCCCATGACAGAATTATTACAAGACCAGTGATTTATTCTCACCACTCATCTGGCTGTTTGTCATACTATGGTGGTTTGTGTGTTGCTGTAAAGTTGT